ATCCTTTCTTTTCTTTCTCTCTGCCCCTCTCCCCAGCTTCCCCTAATCTAGGTACAGTACCTTATTCTCTTTTTTTTTCCTCTTTTGGGGAAGGACTGGAGAAATCACTGTGATATACACTTGCTATTATATTGCAGTGTCCTTCCTCAAGGGGCCTGGCCTCTGTTTTTTTTTAATTAGCATGCATCTTCCCTAGCCCAATACTATAAGATTCAGCCTTGTTCATTCTCCATTAATACTAGATAATGTGTAGCTCACTGTTGGGTACCTCCTAGGTAGATCTTCAAAAATTATAGTGAATAAATGAAAGAATGAATCCAGGATTTATGGAGATATAGGTACAGACACACACACACACACACTTATATGTATGCTGGATCAAGAAAATATAGTTAGATTGTACTTTTTTTTCTCCCACCCCTCCCCTCTGGCAACCACCAGTCTATTCTCTGTAACTATGAGCTTGTTTTTTAAGATTCCACATATAAGAAAGATCGTAAGGTGGGGCCGGCCTGGTGGCGCAAGCGGTTAAGTGCGCGCGCTCCGCTGCGGTGGCCTGGGATTCGCCGGTTCGGATCCCGGGCGCGCACCAACGCACCGCTTGGGAAGCCATGCTGTGGCGGCATCCCATATAAAGTGGAGGAAGATGGGCACGGATGTTAGCCCAGGGCCAGTCTTCCTCAGCAAAAAAAAAAGGAGGAGGATTGGCAAATGTTAGCTCAGGGCTGATCTTCCTCACACACACAAAAAATAAAGATCATAAGGTATTTGTCTTTCTCTGACTAATTTCAGTTAGCATAACGCCCTTGAGGTCTATCCATGTTGTTGCAAATGCCAAGATTTCATTCATTTTTTTTTTTTTGTGAGGAAGATTAGCCCTGAGCTAACATCTGTTGCCAATCTTCCTCTTTTTACTGAGGAAGACTGGCCCTGGGCTAACATCCGTGCCCATCTTCCTCTACTTTATATGGGATGCCGCCACAGCATGGCTTGACAAGCGGTGTGCTGGTCCACGCCTGGGATCCGAACCCACAAACTCTGGCCCGCCGAAGCAGAGTGTGTGAACTTAACTGCTATGCCACCAGGCCAGCCCCAAGATTTCATTATTTTTTATGACTGAATAATATTCGATTGTATAGATATACCACAATTTCTTTATCCATTCATCCATCAATTGACATTTAGGTTGTTTCCATTGGCTATTGTAAGTAATGCTGCTGTGAACATAGAAGTGCCTATATCTTTTTGAGTTAATGTTTTCATTTTCTTTGGATAAATACCCAGAACTAGAATTGCTGGATCATATGGTAGTTCTATTTTTAAGTTTTTGAGGAGTCTTCATACTGTTTTCCATAGGGGCTGCACCAATTTACATTCCTCCCAACTGTGCACAAGGGTTTCCTTTTCTCCACATCCTCACCAGCATTTGTTATTTCTTGACTTTGATAATAGCCATTCTGACAGGTGTGAGGTGAAATCTCATTGTGGTTTTGATTTGCATTTCCCTGATGATTAATGATGTTGAGCATCTTTTTATGTACCCTGCTGGCCATCTTTGTGTCTTCTTTGGAAAAATGTCTAATCAGATATTCTACCTATTTTTTAATTGGATTGTTTGTTTTTTGCTATTGAGTTGTATGAGTGCTGTATATATTTTGGATATAACCCCCTTATCAGATTTGTAAATATTTTCTCCCATTTAGTAGGTTGCCTTTTCATTTTATTGATGATTTCCTTTGCTGTGCAGAGCTTTTTAGTATGATGTAGTCTCATTTATTTTTGCTTTTGGTGTCAGATTGAAAAAATCATCACCAAAACCTATGGCAAGGAGCTTACTGCCTAGGTTTTCTTCTAGGAGTTTTATGGTTTCAGGTCTTACGTTCAAGTCTTTAATCCATTTTGAGTGAATTTTTGTGTAGGGTGTATGATAGTGGTCCAGTTTCATTTTTTTGCATGTGGCTATCTAGTTTTGCCAACACAATTTATTGAGGACACTGCCCTTTCCCCATTGTATATTCTTGGCTCATTTGTCATAAATTAGTTGATCATATATGCCTGGGTTTATTTCTGGGCTCTCTGTTCTGTTCCATTGATCTATGTGTCTGTTTTTATGTCAGTACCATACTGTTTTAATTACTGTAGCTTTGTAATTTAGTGTGAAATCAGAGAGCATGATGCCTCCAGCTTTGTTCTTCTTTCTCAGTATTGCTTTGGCTATTTGGTTTTTTTTGTGGTTCCATACAAATTTTAGGATTATTTGTTCCATTTCTTTGAAAAATGCCTTTGGGATTTTGATAGGGATTGCATTGAATCTGTAGATTGCTTTGGGTAGTATGAACATTTTAACAGTATTGATTCTGGCAATCCATGAGCACAGAATATCTTTCCATTTATTTGTGTCTTCTTCAATTTCTTTCATTAATGTCTTGTAGTTTTCAATATAAGGTCTTTACCTCCTTGGTTAAATTTACTCCTGGGTATTTTATTCTTTTTGATTCAATTTTAAATGAGATTGTTTTCTTTATTTCTCTTTCTGGTAGTTAGTTATTAGTTATTATATAGAAATGCAATAGACTTCTATGTATTGATTTTGTATCCTGCAGCTTTACTGAATTTGTTTATTAGTTCTAACATTTTTTGATGGAGTCTTTAGAGTTTTCTATATATAAATATCATGTCATCTGCAAATAGTGACAGTTTTACATCTTCCTTTCCAATTTGGATGCCTTTTATTTCTTCTTCCTACCTAATTGCTCTGGCTAGGACTTCCAGTACTATGTTGAATAAAAGTGGCAAGAGTGGGCATCTTTGTTGGGTTCCTGATCTTAGAGGAAAGGCTTTCAGCTTTTCACTGTTGAGTATGATGTTAGCTATGGGTTTGTCATATATGGCCTTTATTGTGTTGAGGTATGTTCCCTCTATACCCACTTTGTTAAGAGTTTTTATCATAAACGTGTTTTGAATTTTGTCAAATGCTTTTTCTGCATCTATTGAGATGATGATATGATTTTTATCCTTCATTTTGTTAATGTGGTGTATCACATTGACTGATTTGCGGATGTTGAACCATTCTTGCATCCCTGGAATAAACCTCACTTGATTGTGGTGTATGATCCTTTTAATATATTGTCAAATTCGATTTGCTAATATTTTGTTGAGGATTTTTTCATCTATGTTCATCAGGGATATTGGCCTGTAATTTTCTTTTCTTGTGGCATCCTTGTCTGGTTTTGGTATCAGGGTAATGCTGGCCTCATGAAATGAGTTTGGAAGAACTCCCTCCTCTTCTATTTTTGGAAGAGTTTGAGAAGGAGTTGAATTAATTCTTCTTTGAATATTTGGTAGAATTCACCAGTGAAGCCTCTTAGTCCTGGACTTTTGTGTGTTGGGAGGTTTTTGGTTACTGATTCAATCTCCTTACTAGTAATCAGTCTGTTCAGATTTTACCTTATTCTTTAAAATTTATGTTTTGTTTTAAAATTTATGTTGTCTTTTCCTTGACCATCGATCTCCTTTGCCCCCCACTTGTTATACAGTCGCACCTGCTCTGTACTTTCATAATACTCAATACATATCTCTATTATCCGAACTTACCACATTGTATTGTTATTTCTGTGTCTGTATACCCCTCATTGTACCTTGAGCTCTTTGAGGGCAGACATTTTTTATCACTAGTCCGTAATATATAATATATATTCATTAATGATAATTCCATGAAAAACTGAATGAATGAAATATTAGCTTAATATATTCAGGATGGCTCAGAGCCCTGCTATCTTCCCCAATATCCACTTGGCACCCAGGAGACTAATACATCCTTGCTGTCCCAGTCGTGAGTTGCCTCACCATCACCTCTTTGCTCTGCCGTCTCTCTCTCTCTGGGTCCCTCTTCCCTTGCTTATGCAGGTGCAGAGAGCAGAATAGCGAATCTGCTTGAACCGATACACAACTAAGGAATAAGAGGCCAGCGTCTTTTATTTGTGGGCTGCCCTGTTTGTGTGTGATTCTCCTAGAAAGCCCTCACGTGGTTCCAGTGTAGTGGGAACAGGAGTGAAAGCGAGATTGAAGTGGGATTGAGGGGAAGCACTCCCTCCCCTGAGCTGAAGGTTTAGCATCCTTTCTCCAGGCCAGCAGTTTACAGTGCCGAGGACTCTCCTCCAGGTCCTAATCTTCTACTTATGCTGGGTGTAATGGTGGCATGATGCAAATTGAGCTGGTTTTGTGCCTGTTTATCAAGTCCTGTGAGTTGTGTCTCGCACTTGTCAGCTCTCTTCGGGCTGTGGGGGTGCTCCTGGGCTTTAGCTGCAATTCTGGCTACAGGAAAAGTCCCCTTGGGAATCCTGGTGTATGTATATTGTTTGTACTTTAAGGAAGTTCCCTCGGGGAGTATAAACTCTCAGAGGCAGTGGTTCCATTGTGTGTTTTCTACATGTTGCTTAACTTACTGATTTATCAGAAACTCACTGATTGTAATATGCGGTATTGGCCATAAAGCATTGGACTAAATCTGAATCACTTTTTATTCTGACTTGTTATGACAAATATCTGGCTGTATTTTCAGATATGCAGGTGAAACATTTTAGAGTACCAGGATTGTGATCTTACTTGAGCGCTCTTGGCCCTGTAAAGAGAATGCAGGCTTAAATTATCTTTATCTTGGACGAGTATATGAGAAAGAAGAAATTCTTGACTAATTGGTCCAAGAACCAGCATAGTTAGGTACTCCTTAATTTACAGTCTGAAGTATAATACAGTCTGAAGTATAATATGTTCCCTTGCCATCAGGTTTATGAGGCCTAATATATAAAAATTAGTTTCATTTTACAGTATGGTTTATTCAAGTACTTTTACTGAGCACTCACAGAGTTAATTTCTTCAATTTTGAACATCCTTTTTAGAATTTTGGTTTGATGAAAAGTAAACATTTGCTGGGTACTTAGCTGTAGAGAGTTCCAAGTTATTGTAATCATTAATTGAAATTAAATGTATTTAACTTCCAGGGTGAAAAGGAACAACCTGTGTTTGCAGTGACTGGCCTTCGATGGGGATCCTTCAGAGATGCTGGCGTCAAAGTTAGCAAGTAAAGGATTACTGTGTTGATGTGTGATGATTTTTTAAAAAATCTTCTTATTCTGTCTCTGTCTTTGAGGTTTCAATATACAGTGATCTTCTAGGGATAAATTTGGTGGGCCTGGAGGTTGAATTAGGTATGAATAACAGAGGTAGAGTTTTGTATCTTATATGCAGAAAGGTTGGAGAATGTTCCAGTTTCCTCCACACTAGCTTGCTGGTAGCTAAAGAGGAGAAGAGTACGTCTCTATTTCTAAACATAATATTTGAGCATAGGTTGGGCTTAAGCTAGACTGAAGGGGGACTGGATTGCGTGTCATCCTGCAGCCTGCTGAGCTGGGTACAAGTGAAAGGCACCGTTGGAGCCACAGCCCTGTGGAGCTTTTACATCCTGGCGGAAGACTCCCTGAGAGCTGTTGTTTGGAAGCCCTAGCAGATTGAGAGACCACAGGCTGCCTCTTTCAGAGAAGGAGAAAGGCGGATGCCTGGCTGTGTTGTGAGGTGGAAGAAACAGGCCTGTTGAGGAGGTGATTAGAGGGCCACCTCTGGCTTTTCATGGGAATGGGCTTATTTTCGAAGACTTCATTGTGTAAAATGGCACTGTTGGCCTGGAGGGAAGGTGTGTGGTGTTCTGTTTGGTGTGGAGAGGCAGTGTGGCAGCACAGGCTTCCTGAGGTGGGGCTGAAGGAGACACTGCGTGAGGTTCACTTCATATCTGGTGGGTGGTGCTTTTCTTTACCTTTTCTTAAAAACAGGCTTGTGATTTTAGTTTAGTTTAAATGAATTTTGATTGATCTCACACACAGCTTTTATCAAAAAATTCTTCTTTCATTTCATAGGCATTCCTGCCACACTTTGTTCACAGAAATTTTTCTCCCTTATTTCATGTTATTATTCCTGCTAATGAGGTTCCTGATAGTGGAATGTCAGAAGAGAGCTATTACTGAAGTATATTACACACTGCATGATTTAGTATTTCACATCTTTTTATTTGCAAGTATGCCGTGATTATCTTGATTCCACAAGTTACCTTGAATTTGATCTGTAATCTCAAATACCAGCAGCTCACCAACAGGAGTTGCCTAGTTTTCCCTGAAAAAGTCTAGTGAGAACAAATTGCTTTCTAAAATGTATTAATTGACAATTAAGCACAAGCATAGGTCAGCCCCTTTAGGAATACTTGCCCATCTCACATACTTTCCCACATTTTGATTGATTTCTGAACAATGAATTTTAAAATTCTGGTTGTCATTATCTAATATCTTGACTAGGACTCTCCACTGAGTTGCTCTGTGTGTTATGGAAGAAACAATAGGCATGTGAGAAGTGATTTCCTAGCTGGCCATAGGAAGACTAGAAGCACGGTGTCAAAATTTGCTATTGGTCGAGATGAAGCAGACTGGGACAATTTAGAAATAAACTGTCTTAGTCAGGATGTGTTTCTATCTGGCTAACCAGGAAAAGAAGCAGATTATTAACTAAGCTTAAAAAAAAATCAGATGATCAAGGCCCTCATTAGGAGCACCACAATATTAACCTGAATAATAATTAGAGTGGCTCCACGTTGCTCATTGGATTATATTTAAACTCCTTATTCTGGCATTCAAGGCCCAACTCAATCTGTCATCACCCCCAATTACCTAGTTATGTATCTTTACTTTTAAGCTCATTCTCAGCGTTTCCTGCACCTTTGCTACTCCTCTTGCCCAGAATGATTTCTTTCCATCTTTCATGTATCTCAGTCCAGCCCATCGCTCTAAATTCCATGCCCTTTACTTTCTTCTTGTGCTGTTCATTATACAAGCATAGCTGCTCCAATAATTTGAAGCCTTTAATGATTTCTTCTCCCTTCTTGACTCTCCTAACCAATAAATAGTGATCAGTTTATACCATGTCATATATATAGTCATTTATTATTTTCTGTTCCTTTTTGGGCTTTATTTTCTCAAATTATAAGCCCTCAAAGGCAGGAATTTCATACTCTGTATTTCTTCTGTTTCCTCCATATGTACAGTAAGTGCTAAATAAATGCATATTGATCAGAATCAACTAGGGAGCAGTTAAGATGGGCTGGCAGGTGACAGGTAAGTTTTAAGAGAGGATTCTACTTTCTGCCGCTTTTCACATTCTAAGTAAGCATCTTTCTCTCTTCAGTCGCTTTTATGTATTTAGCAATATGAAGTAGACCCGCTTTACTCCCAGATTTAACATTTGCCATTTTAAAGCTGCATAACATAAGTAATGGGAAATTATGCTGATTTACAAATTTTAATTGTATGTTTGTGTGTGAGAGAGAACATGGTATACAGGATCTAGTCATTTAGCTTGTAACACATTGGATCACCCAGCATCTGCATCTCATTGTAGCTTTATCATTCTCTACTCATTGCTCTCTTGAATGTATACTCAACTGTGTTCTGCGGTTGAAAGTATATATTACAGTGATACTTGTGAATTTAGAGATTCAAGGAGACTCTGATTATATATCCCTTGTAAATTGCAAGGATCTATCTACTGTATAACTGATTATGTACTGTTTGACATGGCATTGAAATGCAGATTAAAAATTTACTCTAACACTCTCTTCTGCTAAGCCGCAATCCCCAAGCCTCCACAGCAGACACTCACAGTAGAGGTGTAATTTCATGTATTGTCTGTCATGAATGGTATCTATCACACTGATAGTTCTTTTAATATTCTAATTAGGTTTTTATCTTGATCTTTCTCAGGTACTGGTATCTTGGGCCTCTAAAAGCCAAAGCAGCCCACGTTTTCAGCACTCTTAAGGTAAATGCAATTTACAACGTAGAAATTTGCCCTGTGTTATTCTGTTGTTACTCTCTGTGTGTGTATTTGGAATCTTTTAAAAATTTCTTCCTACAGATATATATGACATGCTTCAATACTAAAATGGGGCATATTTACTTATAAACAAATGCAGAAAGCATTCCTGTTTTGATAAGCAATTGCCCCTCATCTGCCAACTCATTCCCTCCATTACCAAACCCATATGTAATTTCTCTTTACCATTCTACTTCCCCTTGCCTATTCATTCACTTGCTTCTGCCAGACAAATCTGAAACAGAATGATCGTTATCTCATCAATTATTTGTAAGTCTGTCTATATTAGTATCTGGAAATGAATTGAAGATTTGTATCTGAATGTATCTAATCATACAGGCTTGTGTATAATATTGGAGGTTTCAAACTGTGCTAGTGAAATACAGGTAGTGGTTACCCTACTGGACAGTATAGGTATAGAACATTTCCATCATCAGAGAAAGTTCTGTCAGGCAGTGCTGCTATAGACTATACATTGAAAAATGTTGGCATAGAGAAAAGCTGAACCATGTATATGAATGAAAATGCTAATAGATAAGTCATCCTTATCTGTGGCCTACATACTGCGTTCACTTTTTCTGCAAATCAAAGTAGTAGATTCACAATTTGGCTGGTCAGTCTGAAAACCGGCAGATGATGTTTGTAGTGAAAAGTTTGGTACTAATGTTAATATTTAGAGTATCAACTGTTTTTCTAATTATAAAAGTAATATGCAGAAAACATAGCTCCCTTCATCTTCTAAATAAATTCCAGTTGGATTAAAGAATTAAATGTAAAAAAATAAAACCACTAAAGTACTAGAGGTAACCAATCTACATGATTATTAAAATGAACTTGGGAGGACAAGGCCTTTAAGGCAAACTGTATTAGCAAAATGCGTTATTACTATCGCTTAAGGTAATAATTTCATTGGTGGGGTGGTGAGCATGTTTAGGAGAAAGAGAGTAACTACATATTTAAGTTGTAGAATCTGGGAGAATATAAACTTTTCACCATTTCTTCAGCAAACAATTATTGAATATCCATTGTGTGACAGCCTTGCTATATGCTTGGAATACAAAGTCAAATAAGACAGGTTTCCTGCCCTCGAGAAGTATTCATGTGCTGAGAGTGAGGTACAAGTAAACAGCAGTTTGGCAAGTACGATGAGAGAAATACGGAAAGACTAAGATGGGGTTAGAGAGGAGGGGCATTTACGTCTGCTGAGGGTCAGCAAAATCTTCCCAGGGAAGGTGACACTTTTGCTAAATTTTGAAATATATATAGGACCGGATAAAGGGCATTCTGGGTGGAGAGGCCAGGATGTGTGAAGTCACAGCGGTGTGACATGGTCTTTAATTATGGCCAATGCAGTAGAACAGCAGGAAGGGGAATTTGAGGGTTAGGGAAGGGCAGCTTATGGCAGGTCTTGATGTGGGATCTGACTTTTATCGTTAAAGCACCAGGAGTTATTGAGTCTTAAGCAGGGGAATAATATGAGCAGATTTGCACTTTAGAAAAATTGCTTGGCAACAGTATAGACAAGAGGTTGGACATGGGTAGCTAAAGTCATGGGCATCAGATGGAAGATTGTTAGAGTAGTCCAGGTGAGAAGTGATGAGGTCTAGACAAGGCAGTAACGGTCAGTGTTGACAACACAGGATGGATTAAAGAGATATTGAGGTAGAACCCTCAAAAGTTGGAAGGAGAGTATAGGATTCCCAGATTTCTGGTTTAAGGGACTAGAGATTGGTAACTAGAGTTCTCCATTAATGTTGATAATAGAGTAAGATCAAGTTTGTGAAGAGAGATGAAATTTTCAGTTTGGCACATACTGAGTTTAACATGCCTGTGGTACAGACAAGTGGAGATACAACTGTGACTTAGGTCTGAAATTCAGCAGAGAGATCTGGGCTGAAGAAATAGATTTAGATGTCATAAGTGTATGAGGGGCATTGAAACTATGGGTTTGATGAAGTTACCATTGAGAACAGATTCCAGGCATAGCCTGGAGGAATGGAAACAGTTAAAGAGCCAGAAAAGATGACTGAGAACTGCTAAGAGAAAAATCTAGGAGAGAGCCCTGACATGCAAGCCAGTGGGAGAATGTCAAGAAGAAAGTGAGATTTCAAGAAGCAACAGTAAAGAGTTTAAATAAAGACAGGAAAATATTCATTGAATTTGGCAACCTCTGAAGGTTTGGTAACCTCCTCAGTGGAGAGACTGTGCCGTATTGAAGAAAGTTAGGGAATAAATGGGAGGTAAAGAAGTGGAGACAGCAGGGGTAGGCTAGTCCTTCAAGAAGCTTGACTTTGAAGGGAAGGAGACAGAAAAGGCAAAAGCTAGTGAAAATATGGGGTCAGTGGAGTGTTGTTTTTTGTTAAGTGGAGAGAAATCCATGTCTTCATACCCTGAAGCAAAAGAAAAAAAAGAATAGGAAGAGATGAAGAGAAAGGAGACAAAAAGCATGACTGAGTTGCCACAATCCATGAGCAAGTGGAAGGGCGTGGGGTCCAAAGTAGTGGGTTAGCCTGGGACAGGGGAAGGAAACCTTTTTCCTTGAGACAGGAGAGAAATAAAGAAGAGTTCTAGAAGAAAACAGGGGGTTAAGATGGTTCTCACTGCTGTCCTGATATTCTCACTGAGTGTAGGAAGCAAAGTGACCTGTGAAAATGAAGTGGGTGTGGTGGTGGTGTGCGGGATTTTTTTTTTTTTCTTTTTGCTGAGGAAGATTCCCCCTGAACTGACACCTGTTGCCAGTCTTCCTCTTTGTTTTTGTACATGAGCCACCGCCACAGCATGGCCACTGACAGACTGGTGGTGTAGGTCTGCGCCCAGAACTGATCCCGGGCCACTGAAGTGGAACGTGCCGAACTTAACCAATAGGCCACTGGGGCTTGCCCAGCAGGATTTTGAAGAAAGATGGAAATAGGGAGGTTTAGGAGGATTATCAAGTGGCATTGAGGACCTGAGACCAATAATTTGCTGTGACACTGACATGCTTCTTTGGGTGATTGTTTTTCCCTGTGTTAATACTCAGCAAGAGTATTTTTTCCCCTCTAATAATACGGAACCTTGATGTAGAAGTACAGAAACCTAGTGACAAGGTTGATCCAGAATTGGGGTTTTTCAAGGCATATATTTTGGAAGAATGATGACACAAGAGGGCCAAGAGTGATGGAAAAAGAGGCTGATTTAAAGTAATCAACACGTAATTTAGTACTGAGGGAAAATGGTATGGTCACAGACTGGAATTCTCAACGTGATTGAAAACTTGGTGTGGTTAGGATCTTCGGGGCCAAAAATTAATACCCCTCTCTTCCTCTTCTGAGTTTGAACCAAGTTATGAAACAAATGTAGGAACCAGGCAGATGGAGATCAAAATATGAGCTTTATACTTGTCAGCAGGAGTGAAGGACACAGGTTAGATATGTGGTCACAGCCTGATTGCCTAACACTCCAAATTGAAGTTATCCACTTAAAACATCTCCTTCAGGGCAGAGACCACCATAGTAAGCTCACTGTGTGAAGAAACAGTGATGTGTGAGTCCCCAGGATGACCACATGCAGAGAGAGAGAGAGAGAGAAGGGGCTGGGTGTATGCATTGGTCCTTCTGGACCTGGGGAGGAGTGAGTGGGGGATGGAATGAGAGAAGTCAGAATTGTTACTCTTTTGTAATTCACCCAGTGGAAACTTGAGAACAGGGGAGTAGTTCACCCTAAGAGACACTGGGCCCAGAAGAATATGGGATATGATGGGAGAGTAGGATATCAAGGTTTTAGATTGTCAAGATGGACTAGTTCTGGGTACCAATAAGGACTGGGAGGTGGCCAAGGAAATGGGTGGCTGTGGTGGATTAGAAGTGATGTCAAGGGCTGAGAGACTAGGGTGTTCTTTTAATTATTCCTGTGGACACTGATGAGACCCATGATGACACTGGACTCAGGGTGCCAGTAAGTAAAAGAGAAAAACTCTAGAGTGTGAGGGTGATGATGTTTGAAGCAGGAGTGAGAAGCCTTGGCTGGATTGCAAGTCTGCACAAAACCATTCTGGCCTCTGTGTAGAGTATGATTCCAGAAGTGAAGAAGGTATTTGATGCAACTGGATTTTGTCCATTTCATTTTTGTGTCACCATGTAAACCAAAAGTAAATTTATTATGGGATGATTCTGTGTTCATTCACATTGATGGGTTTTTGGAGAATTATAAGCAGTGGTTGTTAGTCCACTTGGGTATCTCCTCTCTGTTGATGTTGGGGAGCGCAGAGGAGGCAGCAGTCACAGAGTTCTTGGTTTTCAAGATATGCCTTTAATGGGCAAAGAAAGCTGGAGGATTCCACACTCCAAATTGGAGATAATTCCATCCACTGGGCGGAGATGACTGGTTAGCTTTCCAGCAGGTAGAGGAAGAATACTATCCTTTGCAGAGAGAAACTCTGAGAGTTTGGAATTGTGTGTGTTTAACAAAAGTATTTCTCTCTTCACATTAAAAGGAGTGGCCTCAGACTCATCAAGCCTCTATCTCATACACGGGACCTATTGAGAGACCTCCCAATGGAACGGAAGAGACCCCTCCACGGCCCTCTCTGTACCGGAGAATATTACGAAGGCTCGCGTCATACTGGGCACAACCACAGGATGGTGAGCAGCGTGGTGACTGAAGATGGGAGAGCCCTGGTTGGTTCAGGACCGCCTAAAGAGGCCCCCAGATCAGTGCTAGAGACTTCACTAGAGCAAGAGAAGCCTTCAGGGGTCACTGAATTCAGCCTTCTGTGTGTCAGAGCAGAGCTTAAACCAGCACAGACACGTCCCAAGAAGGGGAACAGCCTGTGTCATTTGTGACAAACAGGGGCTCCCTCTTTCTGTCACAGACCTTTATGTTATTGTGGCTGCTTTGGTAGCGATATTTTAAGCATAGAGATTCCATTTTGAGCTTGGCTCTTTATCCCGTGTATAAGAACTAGGAAATAAAGAAAACTAAGGTGGAGTCAGCAGACGGGCTTGGGAGGCCAAGCTGAGCAGCGGGCAGCTGGCCGTCGGTGGTGTCATGATGAAATGTTAATGAAGAAGTTAACCTGTATCTAATGCATTCACACAGCCCTCTCCCAAGAGGTGGGCCCAGAGGTCTGGAAAGAAGTGCAGCTGTCCACCATTGAACTGTCCATCACGACACGGAACAGTCAGCTTGACCTGACGGTAAGTGTGCTTTTTTATGAGAGAAGCGTTTGGTATCTGGGAAAAGTGACAAAGGCTATGTGTTCTTCCACTAATTCAGTATTTTTATTTTTACCTTATGGGGATAGAGAGGAAGGGATCAGGAAAAAGAGGATGTGGTGTGCCTTTAAAGAATAATAGCAATGAGAAGAAACAGCTGAGTGAAGTAGTGGCCTAAAAGCTTGAGGGACTCTGATCAAGTATTATGTACATTGCTTAGTAGTAGTCACCAAACTTTCTGCCTTCAGACAACTGAGGGAAAAGGGCCTTTAGAAAGAAAAAATTAGCCTGCTCTCATTTGTCACAGGAATAAAAAATGTGGAACTTTTTACTTGAGTAAATATTCACCATTTTTGTGACTATATTAATTATGTAAATTTAGGTCCCAAGGAGAAAAATATATATACATATATATTTATGTATATTTGTATACACACACATCTGTATCTATATTTACTTATTGTTTTGAGTCTGATCTGTTGATATGCACTGTCCAATACAGTAGCCACTAGCCTCATGTGGCTGTTTAAATTTTAATTTAAATTAATTAGAATTAAATAAAATTTAAAGCTCATTTCTTCAGTCACAACAGCCACAGTGCATGTGCTCAATAGCCATATGTGGCTAGTAGCTACTGTATTGGAAAGCACACATACAAAACATTTCCGTTAGTGCAGAAATTTCTACTGGATAGTGCTGCTGTAGACAATACACTAAAAAAAAGATTGAAATAAAGCAGGGAGTGGCAAAGTGGTCTGCCACCTGTTTTTGCATAGCCCACAGCTAAGAACTGATTTTACATTTTTAAATGGTTGGAAGAAAATCATAAGGATAATATTTTGTGATATGTGAAAAGTATATGAAAGTCAAGTTTCAATATCCACAAGTCAGGTTTTATTGGAACACAGCCATATCCATTCACATACATGTTGTCTGTGGCCGCTTTTGTGCTACAATGGCAGAGTTGAGTAGTTGCGACGGGGACTGTATGGCCCAAAAGCCTAGAACATTTACTATCTGGCTATTCAGTGAAAAAATTTACTGACCCCTGGTATAGAGAAAACCTTAGTAGTTTATATTAGTGAGAATGTCAATAGAAAAGTTATCCTTAACTGTGGGCTAATGACTAGGATCAGGTTTTATGCAAATCAGAGTAGTGTGTTCACAACTGACCTGGTCAGTGTGAACATGGGCACCTGGCATTGAGTGGAGTGACGGAGATACGAATGAGTGAGATGGATGAGACGAAGCTGGTGAGGCGTTTGATTCTCGTATTAATATTGAGAGTTTTTAGTGGTTTTCTAATGAAAAAAGTAATACTTGTCCATTGCATAACATTTGGATAATATAGCTCCCTTCTTGTTCTGAATTAATTCCAGCTGGATTAAAGAGTTAAATGTAAAAAAGAAAACCATTAAAGCAGTAGACTGAGATCTGAGTGATGATCAGTATAAACTTGGGGAGGACAAGGCCTTTCTAAGCAGGGCACCTAAGGCAAAAATCATATTGATGCATTTGTCTACTTATAATTAAAAAAGAAACTATAAACAGAATTTTTAATGACAAATTGGGAAAAATATTAGAATGTGATAGACCAGGAGTATAGCTTTCCTTTATAACAGACTCTTAGGGTAAAACAACAAGAAATGGGCAAAGGACTAATATAAACAACAGGCAAAAGGAAAGACTAGAAATTCACAAAAGAAAGAAACATGAAAAAAAATAGTTTATATTTGCTGACGATTTACTACATGCCAGGCCTTATCCTAAGAATTTTACATAATATCAACTCATGTAATCCTCATAAGTACGCTATCAGGTAGATCTAACTTTTATCTGCATTTTATAGGTAAGGAAACAGAAAAAGTGCTCAACATCAAAGAAATGCAAATCAAAATAGTGCCTATTGAATTGTCATAGATTAAAAAGCATGCTAAGGTTCAGTGTTGGTGTGGATGGGGAAGCAGGTAGTCTTGCGTATTTCTGGTGGAAATATAAATTGGAGCAGCCTTTCTTGATGGCATCTTGGCGGTGTATATGAAGCATCGAAAATATAAGCATACCCTTAGCCCAATTAAGTATATTTCTAGGAATTTATCCTATAGAAATAATCAGATGGATTCATAATGTTGATGGTCCCTTATTTCTTACACAATGGAATTCTGAAAGCATTGGTGAAAGTGAAGGTATTAAGGTTAAAAAAAATAGATTCTGTTCCAGAGGAATTTAAAAAAGAAAGATAAGTTTCTAATTATACATGTCCTTTATACCCAATCTCTGATAATATGTATTCCCAGTATTTTGTTCATGTTCTTTAACCTTGTTCTTCTCTCTGATGATTGAATACCAATGAATGGGTTGAGTTCAGTGAGTGTGTGAATGCAGTTCAAGATTAGCCACATTCGAAATGCCGAGCGCTTTTTATCTTTGTGCCAATTATAAAAGTATGTGATACTGCACTTCTTATCACTAGGAGCAGCACATCATTTTCTTTTTTCCACACCTCTTTGTAAAAATAAAAAGCAAATGCAATAAAATATTCAAAGACAATGAAGCTGCCATGTAATAGCTCAAAATGTTCATTTATCATTAAAAAAGAGTACATTCACAATATGAAAGAGGCTTTAGGGGTGTGGAATGTGTGAAAATTAGGATCTCTTGTACAGCTGTGTTCATGGTATTTATAATCGCAAAAGATATGAAACAAACTAATCAGGGGACTGATCAAGTACATTTTGGTACATTTATTTAAAATGTTCTATTTTATTGACACGGAAAGATGTTCATCATACATTGTTAAGTGAAAAACCAGGTTAAAGTGATTTGCATCAAATGATTCCGTTTTTCTTTAAAAGAGAAATTCTCCAAAAAAGAATGATGGAGGTGAGCCTCCAATTTTATATTCTATCTATACAGAAAGCCAGTTGTCTAAGCACCATTTATTGAAATGTCCATCCCCTGCCCCCACTGATCTGCAGTAACCTCTGTCATACATCGAGTGTCTGTGCACACAGAAATGTTTCTGGAAATGTCTCTAGTCTCTATTCTATTGTCTATTTGTCTATACTTGTACCAGTACTGTGCTTCTCTTAATTATTATCATTTTATAAGTTCCTCTGTGTTTTTCTTCTTAGAGTCTCGGGTATTCTTGGCTCTTTGACATCTATAAAGCTCTTAGAATGTTTATTTTATTAAGTTCCACATAAAAATCTGTTATAATATTGATCAAGATTACATTGAACCTCTAGATCAATTTGAGAAGAAATGACATTTCTACAATATTGACTCTACTATCCTATGAATGTGGCATCTCTCTTCATTTTTTTAGGTTTTTAATGTCTTTCAATGAAGTTTTATTGTTTTCTCTATAACATTCTGTCTTTTGCTGGATATATTCCTGGTTATCTTAACTTTTGATGCTATTGTAAATAGCATCTCTTAAAATGTCATTTTCTATCTGATATAGTAGAGGGACATGTAATTGATTTTTTATATTGATGCTGAATCAGCAACCTACCTAAATTCTTATTAATTATATTGTTTATCTATGGATTCTTTCGGATTTTCTATACATTCAATAATATCAACTGCAAATAGCGCAAGTTTTGCTTTTTCCTTTCAAATACCTAGCCTTCTAGTGTTTTATCTCACCTTATCGCCATTGGCTAGAACCTCAGTCCAGCGTGGAAGAGACGTAGTGATAGCAGGCAGCACTCGTATTCCTGATCCAGAGATAAAGGTTTCATTGCTCCATTCTTGAGTTTGATGGGGTTTTTATAGATACCCATTATCAGATTAAGGAAGTGCCCTTCTATTCCTAGTTTGCTAAGAGTTTTTATCATGAATAGATATTTAATTTTATCAAGTACCTTTCTGGCATCTATTGAGATAAGGTTTCTCATTTAATCTGTAAAGGTAGTAGAATACATTGATTTTTTTCCCTGTACCAGTTGCAAAAGACAAATCCTAGACTTGTGTCTATAACTATCTACTCACTCTCTTAGGTGTTTCAATCTTCGCACGTCCAAAACTGAGCTCCTGATCTTCCCCTCCATCCCTTGAAACCTGCTTGTCCACATCTTCCCCCATTGCGGTTGATTTAATTCTGTTCTTTCGGTTGTTCAGGCCACACATCTTGGAGCCACTCTTGGCTACTCTGTTTCTCCTCATATCTAAGCTTTGAGGAAGTCCTGGTGGCCTCACCTTCTAAATACTGCCAGCACTTCACATGGATCTCCACCGCTACCTGATCCCAGCCACCACCGTCTTTCAACCCTGGATTATTACAGTAGGTTCCAAAGTGGTCTCCCTGCTTCCTCCTTTCCCCCCTTCATTCTACTCTAAACACAGTAGCCAGAGGGATCCTTTTAAAATGAAGCCAGATCATATTTCTCTGCTTAGAACCTTCCAGGGGTTCCTCATTTCACTCAGCCCAACAGCCAATTCCTTGTAATGATCTACAAGGCCCTCCTGCTCGAGCCCCCCTCCTCTCTCACTTCATCTCCTGTCGTCCCCTTCTCTCACTCCGCTCCAGCCACACTGGCTTCCTTGCTGTTCTTTCACATGTCAGGCATGCTCCCACCTTAAGGCCCCTGCCCTGGCAGTCCTTTGTGTGGATCACTCTTCCCTAGACAAGCAGTTCTCAAAGTGTGGTCCTTAGATCAGCAGCATTTGAGAACTTGTTAGAAGTGAAAATTCTTGGGCCTCACCCCAGATCTGCTGAACCATAAACTCTGAGAATGGGGCCAGAGTCAGCATTTTAACAAGCCCTCCAGATACTTGCTAAAGTGTGAGAACCACTGCCCTGATATCCATATTGCTAATTCCCTCACCTCCTCCAGGGGTCTCTCAGAGGTTACCTTCTCAATGAGGCCTACCTGGACCCCTCTTTAAAAATGTCACCAATACCACCTGGTATTCCTTGCTGTAATTCTTTATTTTTTTTGCTGAGGAAGCTTCACCCTGAGCTAACATCCATTGGCAATCCTCCTCTTTGTTTTGCTTGAGGAAGATTAGCTCTGAGCTAATATCTGTGCCAATATTCCTCTATTTTGTATGTGGGACACCGCCACCGTGTGGCTGGTGAGTGGAGTAGGTCTGCAGCCTGGATTCGAACTCACGAACCTGGGCTGCCGAAGCCGAGCGTGCAGAACTTAAACCACTCGGGCACGGGGCCGGGCCCTCCTTGCTGTAGTTCTTTTACCTCATTTCTCTAAGATACTTATTAATATACTCTGTAATTTACATTTATGCTAATATATATATTCCATAATTTACCATTTTTATACTGTTATACTCTAAAATACTTCTAATATAGTCTGTAATTTATTATTTTATTTTGGTTATTTTTTGTTTTGTTTATCCTCTCTACCCTCCCCAGTAGAATGCAGGTTCTTCATAGGCAGAAATTTTTGGTTTTTGGTTCATTGATATAAACCAAGCACCTAGAAGAGTTCATGGTACGTTGCTGACACTCAATAAGTCATTGTTGAATAAAAGGTGAACTTAGAGCAAAGTCATCCCCTCTGTGTTTTGTAATTCCTTGCTGAGAGGTCAAGGTGTATCCTTTAATCTTAGGCAAGGGCCGTCGGCTCTCAGAGGCCTGTGGGTTATCCTGGGGCTACAGATTTTGAACGTGTCCAAAAAGAAACAACACTGCTATTTGAAGCAGACACAGAAGTCTTGGGATTGATTCATAGAGGGCCAGGTTTGTATTGCTGGCCACTGACAGGTAGTACATTTGGGGGAATGGCACAAGAACCACGTCTGTTTTAATAGCCACTTCCTTGTAGCTCAATTCTTGCAGAGCTTTCTGTGGTTGGGAATGGAAAGTTTTTAAAACATTACCATGGCATAAATGGATTGCTGCTCTTCAGCGCTGGTTGCATACCAAATTTGCTTGTAGAGCGTTTAGAAACAGACACTTGGGCTCTCCACACTGAGGAGCTGATGCAGCAGATGTGGTGTGATGCGGACATACAGTGAGGATGGAGACTTGCTGGGATAGAGGGGCTGAAAGCTTGGCCTGCAAGGGAGGAAATCCTAGGGACTGCCACAGCTGTGATTATGAGTGACAGAACTTCACAAAACTCCAGACCTGAGTTTTTATTTAGCGTATGTATGTAGTAAAAAACAAACAAGCAAGCGAGCAGTGGAGATGAATTTTATGGTCTGTAAATTATACCTCAATAAAGGTCTTAATGTAAAAAGGAAAAAAAAAGAATTGAAAATATATTCAGGATTAAGTAACTATATATATAACTATATAACATACACAGCTTCGAAATGTGAACCTCCAAGGCGAAAGGATGACAGCAGGCTGTATTAGCCAAAATTTAGAGTATTAATGTTAGTCTTCCTAACCTTTTTAGAGCAAAGAAGATTTTATGAACATCTGCATTGAACCTGATACTGTCAGCAAAGGAGACTTCATAACTATAGGGTGAGTGGACTGGGCTTTGTAGGAAATGAGGCTTCAGTAGTTTGTATTCTCAGACTTGACCATTCAGAGTGCCCTTCAAATCTAAGATGGAGACCCAACGAAGGACTTGTCTCGTTGGGGAATTGTAGCTTTCCTTTTTTCATTTGGGTTGACGTGTATGCATGCACCTCTCCTACTCTGGCCTTCCCTGTTCATTTTGGGAAGATCAGAGTATGGGAGCAGTCTTTGCCTTGCAACTGAAATGAAAGAATTCAGTGTAGCATGGTACAGCGTCCAGAATTTTGGCTTCAGGGTCAAAATTGCTAGATACAAATCTTGATTCTGCCACTTACTGGCCTCATGACTTGGACAAATCATTTAACCTCTCTGAATCCTTTTCCCAGTGTATAGAATGGAGTAATATCTCTATCTAAGGATTGTTTTTGAGTCTCAAATGAGAGAATGTGCAGGAAAAGTCTTTTTCATTGTGAAGCACTTTACAATATCAGTTACTATTCATGTCAGTCTACCTTGTTCTATTCCCAGGGCATTAATGAAAAACTTGAAAAGGTATTGAGTACTTTGGACATTTTCTAGGCTTTTTTCCCTTTTCCACTACAAAATACCCTTCCAAGTCCTGCCTGATTTGTTAAACCCTACCTCTGCCAGAGTTTTGTTGGTTAAGAATGCTCTAAAACCTCCACCAGTCTTCAGAGCATCTGAGGAGCCGGCGTGTTACCATGCCAACTGGGAATCTGCTCAGCTCTGGGTTCTGTGCTTTGTCTCACAGCTCCCTCTCGTGCCCGTTTAAGGATCAGACATTTCTGCGGCTGCAGCTGGATCTCCATGGCTACTTCATTATCTATACCAGCACTGGCAGCAGAATGTTTTTCATTAGTTTGTGTTGTTCTCGCCTTTGGTCCAAATTCTTCAGATACTGAATAGCTGATTCTGCAGCCTTTGAGTTACTTGCTGTATCTGTAGTAAAAGGAAGAGGGAAAAGCCTTTCCCTTGTTCTCCTAGAGTGTCCAGAAGCCACACAGAGGCTGGCCAGTGGAGCACTATATTTGAATCGCCTTCATAATAATGACATCCAAAAATAGAAAGAAAAACAAATTATATTGCTTAAATTAGGTGAAGTCATTATGCTCTGCATTATTGCTATCATCTTCATCAGCAGCAATAACACGGCTTCCTTTTGGTCTCTACAGGAAGTGATGTCGGTTACCTCTGGGTATCTGAATACTGTGAAGTTGCTTTAGAAAACTGAATTACTATTGTCAATTAATGATAAAGAATGGACTAATTTACTCGGATTAGCTTTTACTCTTTTTCTACTTTATATGACTAGCTATGAAGGATATATATACATGAAATGGAGTGTGTGTAGATAGACAGTCTCTGGTTTTACTCCAAAGCCATTTAGTCAAGGTAAAGATGTAGTATGCTAAGACAGAACTAAAGAGAATCATCAGAGAACTTAACTTCTAAGACTGGTTGTTCATATATATAAAGAAAATATCTACTTTAAATTGGAATAAAAATATTTTCTCCTTCAAGTAACAGACTCACAAGTACCAAATAACAAAGCTTAGTACTTTTCCTAAACAAATTTTATTCTAATTTTTAATTTGGGATTTTTAATAGCCAAAGAATTAGGTACATGTGGACTTATTTAAAAATAAAGAACCAGTCAGAGAAAATCACCCAGTCTTAATTTCATGCACAGTCTCTACAGCAAGTAAACCTTCTCAATCTAGAACATATCACAGTGCTAAGCAAGAATCACTGTGGGAAAAACTGTTCACAGAACCCCATGGTTCAACTGATCGTGAGTCTACCTATTTAATCTCATCAAAAGAGACCAAGAACTCGCTGTGTTCTTGCACTGTGATGCAGTTGCCAGCACTGGTTTCCAGTTTTGCTTTTTCCTGTCCCAACAGAAGTAAGAAGGTGAGGGACCCCACGCTGCGAGCTGACGGCACCGAGTGTCTCCAGGCCAGCCAGTGCACTCTGCTGCTTCCTGAGGTGAGCAGGGGGTTGGCTGTCCCCCAGCTTTTGGTTCTTTCTTGATCAGTCCTCCTTTCTGCTCTTTTCCCTCCTCACTCTCTATTAACAGACCCTCATTTAGGCACCCAGGATGTGCCAAGCACTTTGCCAGGCTCTGGGTTACGTTAAGGGACACCTGAAGAGATGCAGAATCCCCAGAGTCACGGACTTAGAGTTGGATTCCCGAGAACTTCCAGTGTTCTTAAGTCAAGGTTCTGAAAAGTGATCTTTAGGTCTCCTGAGCTTTTACTTTTCTGAATGTAAATTGTGCACGGGGTTACTATACCATAACACACAGTGAATTCTCTAGTTGGCAAATGTTAATGGTGGATTCTACCTCAACATTTTCTATAAAGGATCTGCAAGCAGTTTTCAAGATGGCACTAAATTTTTCTGTATTATGAAATGCCAAGCTTAGTAGAACAACCTATGTCAGTGGAAAAGAAGAAATATAATCTAAATTGTATGGTTAGTTATTCTATTAGTAATACCTCAGGAAACAGAGAGTTACTACAGATCGCCTCTAAAGACGTGTGGCCATTATACTACTGTATTCAAAAAGGATTGTAAGTAAAACAGAAGGTATCTTATCCACAGTGGGTGGCACCATAGTTTCAACAAAGCACATGTTGAATTAAATGCATGAGTTATGGGAGGGTTTCACAGAGTCTATAATGATGTTAATGTTGATGTACCTTAGGTATAAAGCTAAGCAAATCCTAAAGAAGAACCATGAAAATAAGTAAGTGGACATAACGGCTTTCCCAAGAGAATTAGCTTTCTTGCTTTTTGAGAAAGATTAGGGCTGAGAAGAACATATAACATATTACAGTCATGCACCATATCACGCTGTTTTGGTCAACAATGGACCACATACACAACGGTGGTCCCATAAGATCAGCACCATAGAGCCTAGGTGTGTAGTAGGCTGTACCATCTAGGTTTGTGTACACGCTATGATGTTCACACAATGATGAAATCGTCTAATGACACATTTCTCAGAACGTATCCCCATGATTAAGTGACACATGACTGTATTTATGAATTCGTTAAAGATGTGGCAGGACCCCTATCTTTTAATAAATATTTGAAAATTATAACCTTGTTTCTCAAATCCCAAAATACCCTGGGAGGAGATAGAGCCCCCCAAAAAAAGTAAACCCTTTTACTTCGATGGTAGAATTGTGATATTTCCAGAACCAGCACTATGCCCATCATAGGCACTGAAATATTTTTTTGAAAGAACGTTAGGATAAATGCTCAGAGAGGAGGATGTTTTCCGTAATGACCTGCTCTGCTGCTATAGTGATGACAAAATTCCAGCTGATGTGTGAGCTGTTCCGAATATTCTCATCTCCACAGGGAACAGGGGGCTCTTTCAGCATCGACAGTGAGGAGTATGAAGCGATGCCTGTGGAGGTGAAACTGCTCCCCAGGAAACTGCAGTTCTTCTGTGATCCGAGGAAGAGGGAACAGATGCTGCAGAGCACAGCCCAGTGAGCGGACGGAGGAGAAGATGTGCGCTCTGGGACTGCACTTTAGGCCACCAGTGGGACCAAAAGGGAACGAAGCCTCACCTGTCCCCGCAGTGTTGTCAGAGGATCCCAAGGGCATTTTCATGGCAAGTACCCACCGCCTTTCTCTGGCAGTGCTTCCCGAAGTGGACTCATTGCCACTCACTTTGCAGTTGCCTTTCTGTTAGCGCATGCTTTTCCGTTGGTGTGACTGCTGATCCCTCCTCATACTGATTTTCCTCAGGCTAGTTTCAGGAGATTCTCACCCTCCGTGGATGGAGAAGGGTTAGACCTTGTCATCTCGCCAAAGTGTGATCACGGGGGAGAGCAGGTTCCTAGACTGTGCAGCTCCTCCGCTCCTGCTGTTCTGTGGCCGTCCTAGGACTTCCAGGGAAGTGCCTGCCTTCCCCACTGCCTTGTCCTCCCCCTAGGCTTCTCCATGGGTCCTGCTGCTTCGTGAGCTGATTCTTAGTGAGCCTGTTCAGTTCTACCCTCCATCCACAACCATGTGAGGTGTTTCCCTCTTCAGCTATGGCTGAAATCCTGTAAAATACTAGTTATTTTTTTTAAGTAGTGCTGCTTAAATGTTGGTTTGCATGAGAACAACCTGGGGTGCATGTTGAAAACTGACTCACTTGGAACCCAAACAACTCAATCCAGGGATGAAGCCCAGGAATCTGCATTTTAAAAAAGCAGCCACCCTCCCCAGAGAGGTGCCTCAATCCTACCTGCACAGATAGTGTAAAGAGTGGTCCACACGGCTCCACTGTTCTGCTCGTGTCCTCCCTAAAAGTATTTTGAAAAATCATGTATCCCCTCCTACTCTTAAGGTGACATCTAAAATTTTTTTCTGGGAAGTTAAAGGTTGCCAAAGTATGTATTTTCTGGTGTCATGTAAATATTGATATTTTAAAATAAAACTGTTACATCACTCTTTTAAACATATTCAGTGTAATTTAAATACATAGCAATTTGACACATCATTATTTACAAAAATAAATGACTAAGTTCTTTGGTAGTTGAAAATTTTAAGTTGACTTTTCTCTTTGTATATGCATTTCCATACCACTTTCAGCAAAGAATGCTATCATAATGTAATCTATGCTTGAAATTTTTTATCCTCTTGCCAAAAAAAAAATAAATGGTAATATTTTTAGTTAAGTAAGTATTAACTCAGTACAGAATAAATGTTATAATTGTTGAAATACAATTGATGAAAACATTAATATAAATTTTTGGTAATTAAAAATTAACATTTTATTAGAATGCTTTTATCCTAGTTAGTTCATTTATCCAGTTACTTACAACTGAGACAACTCCAATTATATTCCTTGTTTCATTCTTAATAGATGTAAGCACATAAATAAGTTGATGAGATAGAATCCCGTTCAAACAATGTCATGCAGTCCTTTGAATTCCTTTGGAGTTACATGTCGAAAATCAGTGAGCTATCAAATCAACAGCTTGAGTAGATCTTCCTTTAGTCTGTTGAAAGCAGAGGACCAGAAACTAAAGATTTGTTAGCCAGGCATTATAGTCATTTACTTTTTTTGTTTGTTTTGTTTATTGCAGTAACATTGGTTTATAACATTGTATAAATTTCAGGTGTACAACCTTATACTTCTATTTCTGCATGATTACATCATGTTCACGACCCAAATACTAATTACAACCCATCACCACACACATGTGCCAAATTAT